CCACTTCTATGCAGTCGTCCATTTCCAAAAAACTTCTCCTACTGATTTTTAAGCAAAACCTTCAGAATCTCTATTGTAATTTCACTTCATAAAACAAAAATATTAAAACACCTTTTTTTATGATTTCACAACAATGTAAACAAAATCCGTAGCAGTCCTGAAGGATGTGTCGCAGAAATAAAATACACAAAATAAAGTATACGTCTACATATAAGTGGGCAGGACCGAAATACGAAGTATAAGCCGAGCGATTTGCCATCGACTTTCGCCAACGACCATCCCACGCTGAACACATCGGTTATCTTTCGATCACCGACATTAATCAGCGACGGGCGCGGTTAGTACTTAGATGGGGGACCGCTTGGGAACACCGCGTGTTGTTGGCCTCGTCAACAACTTTTTGCCTTTTGCCTTTTGCCGCTTTTATATTTTATATGTTTCTATTTAAGGAATTTTTGCCACAATTTTTGCCACTTCTATGCAGTCGTCCATTTCCAAAAAACTTCTCCTACTGATTTTTAAGCAAAACCTTCAGAATCTCTATTGTAATTTCACTTCATAAAACAAAAATATTAAAACACCTTTTTTTATGATTTCACAACAATGTAAACAAAATCCGTAGCAGTCCTGAAGGATGTGTCGCAGAAATAAAATACACAAAATAAAGTATACGTCTACATATAAGTGGGCAGGACCGAAATACGAAGTAGGGGAGGGTGGTCCCATACCGACCCCCTAAAAGGCAAAGGCGATAAAGGTGAGAAAAATCAATTTTTCAGTTCAGTTCAAAAATTTACTATGTAGAGGGATCAGTTTACTATACATCTAAATGATTAGTAAGTGCGTAGGTGCTTTGAAGCGTTAGATATTCAGGCAAATATAAAACTCTACTTTTTGGTCGTACTCAAAAGTAGTGGTCCGAAACCGACCCCCTATTTCTTAACAGAAAAATTTAATAACATAAAATAGAATTTAATGATTTTGACGTTTATTAAGAAGTATATTGAAGGTTCTTTCCAGAAAATAAAAATTTATGTATGAAATAAAGGGCAATGTAGTCAATTGATGAAGTCTGAGTTGTCCTCTTTCTCATAGTAAGTTTTCGCGTTGTTTTCGCCTTGTTTTTCGAAAGCCGCTCGTTGATGACTGTCTCTTCGCTTTCTTCTGATGTTTTTGCTGTTTCTGTTACTTTTCTTTACTGAATCTTGTTTACTTTTTCATATTTTCCATCAAAAATACGCTATGACATATTAAGCTGCCAATAAATGGGGGTCGGTTTCGGACCATCACCTAGCGGTCGGTTTCGGACCACCACGACCTTTTCTGATTAAGTGCTCGGCATTAACTAAAGACGCAAAGAGCGATGTAATTCTAATTATTTGAGGGAAAGCTAGGACTATCAACGATCAGAAAAATTTACTCTCCGATTTTTATGCGGAGAAAAAAAACTTTGAGCTCAAGTTCAGTAAAGCTCAAAAATAAATGTCACAGGCGTTGAAACAAAACAAACGGAAAAATTGCAGTGAAACAAAATAAGTCAAAGTAACTATCTATCTCCAAAATGTCTGTGTTATAACAGCTTTTCACTGAAGTTACCGACAATTCGGCTAGCATCGCCATCTCTGAGAAACATGGGGGGTCGGTATGGTACGACCGGTCGGTATGGGACCACCCTCCCCTATAAGCCCAGCGATTTGCCATCGACTTTCGCCAACGACCATACCACGCTGAACACATCGGTTCTCGTCCGATCACCGAAATTAAGCAGCGTCGGGCGCGGTTAGTACTTAGATGGGGGACCGCTTGGGAACACCGCGTGTTGTTGGCCTCGTCAACAACTTTTTGCCTTTTGCCGCTTTTATATTTTATATGTTTCTATTTAAGGATTTTTTGCCAGAATTTTGGCCACTTCTATGCAATTGTGCTAAATATTTGAGTCGTCTATTTCCAAAAAAACTTCTGCTACTGATTTTTAAGCAAAACCTCCAGTATCTCTATTGTAATTTCACTTCATAAAACAAAAATATTAAAACACCTTTTTTTTATGATTTCACAACAATGTAAACAAAATCCGTAGCAGTCCTGAAGGATGTGTCGCAGAAATAAAATACACAAAATAAAGTATACGTCTACATATAAGTGGGCAGGACCGAAATACGAAGTATAAGCCCAGCGATTTGCCATCGACTTTCGCCAACGACCATACCACGCTGAACACATCGGTTCTCGTCCGATCACCGAAATTAAGCAGCGTCGGGCGCGGTTAGTACTTAGATGGGGGGACCGCTTGGGAACACCGCGTGTTGTTGGCCTCGTCAACAACTTTTTGCCTTTTGCCTTTTGCCGCTTTTATATTTTATATGTTTCTATTTAAGGAATTTTTGCCACAATTTTTGCCACTTCTATGCAATTGTGCTAAATATTTCAGTCGTCCATTTCCAAAAAACTTCTCCTACTGATTTTTAAGCAAAACCTTCAGAATCTCTATTGTAATTTCACTTCATAAAACAAAAATATTAAAACACCTTTTTTTTATGATTTCACAACAATGTAAACAAAATCCGTAGCAGTCCTTGGTAAAAGTTTGTGAGGGTGAAATGTAGGTACAGGGATAGGCTTATGCTGAACTGATTTGTGGATCAGTAAAGCAACTCCACCCTTTGCGACAACGGATGTCGTGTGGTACATTTCAAAGTTAACAGGGATGGGGAATGGTTTGGTGAATGTAATGTGTGTTTCCTGAAGGGATATAATGTTGGGTTTGTGTAATTTTAGAAGAGTTAATAGTTCATTGTATTTATTAGTGTATCCATTAATGTTCCATTGCAGTATAGTGAGAGTCATATTTTAAACTAAAGGGAGAGGGTAATGTTACTTTAGCTTTTAGTTATTTATTAAGTCTGAAATAGGAGTGTTTTAAGGCTTAGATCTAGTTATTATTGAGCTTTTTGCTTTTTCCTTATTAATAATATTTCTTTTTGTTCTGCTCCTTATGTTTTTTGGGAGGATATTGACTGTAGCTTTTACTTTTCCATTGCTGTTTTCAAGTGGCTGCTTCGTCCTTGTCGTCGTATGAGATGAGGTTTCTTCTGTTGTCTTCTGAGGTTGGTGGTCGTTGGGAGGTTGATGCTGATGTAGAGATTGTGTTTGGGCCTCGTCGTGGAAGTTGAGTGAGTCGATGCTGGGTAATATTGGCCACGGATGAGTACAAGGAGCCGTCGTGTTGGTGTCTTTTCTTGTAAATAGACCAAGCCGTTCGGTTGTCGACTTTCTATAGGGTTTATCATGTTGAATTTCTTTGTGGGTGACAAATACGGGACAATTTCTATCTCTGGTGGGGTGGTCGGTATTTGGTAGCTTTTTATCTATGCAATTTACCCAGGAAAGGGGACGTTCGCATACTTCTCCTTCCTCAATATTGATGTGGGCATTTTGACTGCATATGAAGCAAGTTTTTGGGTTTCTGGAAAACTTTTTCAAGTGTCCTAAACGTAGCAATTATTGCAACGCATCGGGGGTGGTACATATGTGCTAACTTGGACTCTTTCATATCCTATATATACGTATTCTGGAAGATCCAGACGGGAAAATGTCAAGGTAATTAATCCTTTTTCGGTTACCTCCATCCGTTGGCGCTTCATAATTTTTCTGACAGCATATACTTTTTGGGATTTAAGGTTTTCGAGATTTCTTCTTCTTCGATACCTCTCAAGTGGTACGGGTATGTTGTTAGGAATATTTTTTATATTTAACAGTTTCTCTGCTTGCTTGTGGTCCTTTGTTTGTACCAGCAGGTTCCCATCGCGTATTTTTTTAAAGCTCGCAACTTCGCATCCACAAGTCAGATCTATGATTTTCTTGATTGTAAATGGAGAGACTCTAGTAAGGGATCTCCCATCCGTTCTGGTAATCACCAGGTATTCTCCATTGGGTGAAGGTCTGTCCCTCCATATGTCGGGGGGCTCCCGCATGTTTGGAAGGGTTTTTTATTTTCAATTACAACGTGACAGGCGTTCGTTAAACCAAGAACAAACCGATGTACCGACTGATAAGAAATCTATTTATAGATTTTTGTTATTATCCTGTGCTTTGCTGTTAAGTTCGATTTGGGAAGAGAACACGACTGATCGCTTTGACTGCCAAACGTAAACTGTTTGCCGGTTTTATATTTTATATATTTCCTTAAAGCTATCTTTATATTGTTCAAAGCATTTTTGTCACAAAACTTCCAGGGAATTCGGCTCTAATTTTTGAGCAAAACCTTTAATATCTCATTTTAGAAGTAGGAGGGGAAACAATAAAGCACAACTCATTTACTATTAGACGATTTGTACGGCCATTTCGTGCCGTAATCCATCCGGACGCTGTAACCACTCATTAGGTGACGTCTCCCGCTTCCAAGTTCCGCCACTTGCTGTCCCGTAACGAGGACTGAGTAAATTGACAATTGCATTAAGTGCGTTAAGTGCTTGAGCGGGAGACAATGTGTGCTGGGGAACGAGTGTGGTGGTGTGGAGTCACCCAGTCACAGTTGGGTCAACCAGCCATGGCATGGTCTTTTCGAGGGGACAACAGCCTTCGGCAAAGTTTTTTATCCACCCAGCAGCTAAACTTGTTGTGCTTTAGTTCCAGCATGCTGCAAACTGCCATCAAATGCTGCCATTCTGACAGTATCCTTGAAGGATAACTGAGCAGGGGACGTCCTTGTGTTGTTAAAAGGGTGAGCATTTCTGCATCTTAGGGTTAAGCGGTTGTATAAACATTTACCATGTCGAAAGGAACTTTTGCAAGATTGCAATGCACACATATTCATACATATATTTAAATAATAAATTTAATAATGGAGTTATCAAATTACTGATTTCTAAGAAGTTTTATCTGTAAGCTAAATTTAGATTTAAAAACAATTATAAAAGCTTATTGGTATTTACTATTTCGTTCAATGGCTTAGTCCCAAACCGAGGTTCCTATGAAGTTTCAATATGAAATCCGACCCGCTGTTTCTTTGGAATGCAACTCTTTAATTTCAACATTATTTACAGGTTATCCACATCGTGGAAGGGCTCGCTTTACAAGCTTACTAGACGGAAACCTTCTCGAGCCGAAGGACAATATCATGTTTGGAGGCAATGACCGGACTAGTCGCAGCCCACTCGATCTTCTTAACGGTCTGGTCGCACGTGTGGACGCGGTGGTTTCGCAGCAGGTGCACCAGGCCCAGCTTCGACTGCAGCAAGCCCAATCGCATGCCGATGCAGTTGCGCGGACCCACGCCGAACGGCATGTAGGCATCCATGTTAAGCTTATCGCGGTTGGCCGGGTCGAAGCGCTCCGGGTCGAACTTGTCCGGCTCCGGCCAGTACTGGGGATCCCGGTGGACGGCCAGAGTGGACATGTAGATGGACATTCCGTGCGGCAGCTCCATGTTGTGGAAGGGCTCGAGGGTGAAGCGCTCACCTTCCGCCGGCTGGGAGCACTCTCGCTCTATGTAGCCCACGATAGGGTACTTGCGCAGCGTTTCGTTCACGACCTGGGACAGGTAGGCCATTTCCTGAATGCGCTCATAGCTGATATGTTCCTCGTCGCCAAAGTAATCGGTGATCTCCTGCCGCAGGCGGTCCTGCAGCGCCTCGTTCCTGGCCAACTCGTAGAGAGTGAGGGTCATTGTGGAGGAGCTGGTTTCGAAGCCGGCTGTCTGGAAAATGGCCGCTTGGGCCACCAGGTAGTCTAGATCGACTGGCGTTGACAGCTTCTGCGGGTTGGCGGCAGCCTCCCGCTTCAGGGCCAGCAGGATGTCGACAAGGTCGTTCCGCTTCTGACCGGTCCTTTCGCGTTCCGCCAGCACGTAGTTGATGCTGCTCCGAATAAACTTTGTGGTTTCCTTAGAAAACAGTTTAACGCGGGCCAGCGACGCGAAGGCAGGCAGCATGAAGATGATAGCAAAGTCAATGGCCCGACGCAATGTCACCGCGAAAATAGCCTTGTTGTGGTAGAAGAACTCGCTACTGGCGTTTTGCAGAGCGTTGGCCTCCAGACCGAAGGCTATGGTGGCTATCAGGTCGGTGGTGAAGCGGGCGCACAGATCCTTCACTTGGACGCTGGAACCACTGCCCAGTCGCTCAGCGCTATCCTCCAGATTCTTTCCAATCTGCAAGTGGAGTTATAGTTTGATGAATTGAAGCGGTCACTTGAGCTTTAGAACAATTGTTTGTCTCGTAAAATATCCATTCTGAGACTCACCTTTACCATAAGCGGATACATTTGCTTGATCTTTCCCGTGGTGAACACCGGCGAGATGGTGGTTCGCAACTCTCTCCACGCCGGACTACGAGCGAAGAAAAGGTTGTTGTAGCCGAGCGCATCGTTGTGCGGATCCGTTTGCAGAACGCGATTGTTAAAGTACTGAAACTTCTTGATCATCACCGTTTTGATCAGGTCCAGATCGCGAATCACCAAGGCCGGACGATAGGCCATGTACACACCCACGAAGGGTTCTTTTTCGAAGCCCGGTGCTTCGTGGAATTTCTGTATCTGCTCAAAGAACGGTACTCGTGCCGTCAGAAATTCACGGGTGCAGCCCAGAAGGGGTATTGGGCGTATGAACTTCACCCCATGGCGCTGCCAAAAACCGAAGGCCCGCCTCTGCCAGATATAGAAAACGACCGCTAAGGTGGCGCCAAGAAGCAGCAGCTCGAGCGACATGTTTAAAGCTTCGCCAGCAGGTAGCTACTATTGAATACTCTTCTCCGAAAGTCGCTTTTAAGCGATCTCCAGAGCTTCCCCGCGGTATCAGTAGATCGTATTACAGTGGTGAAGAAAAAGCTTCCATTCTCACACACCACTTATTGTTGACGCTTATCGGAAAGTCGCACGCTAGCTGTCGGCACTGAGAAAATGTACAGACTCATTTCGAAACAAGTTTTTACTTTATTTTTGTTTGCATTTTTTTTTAAACTGTTTTTTTTCAAATACCATTTCAAAGCAACAGGCTAGACCTGTGGATAGTGCACCATTGGCTGCATCACACGTCTTTTAACTTAAGTAGAAGACTGGCCTCTGTCAAGTTATGTTATTGTAAAATAGAAAACGACACAATTGGTTCTGCCAAAAAAGTTTATTTATATCGATAAAATCCAAACTTTCTAGTTGCTGTGTGTACCAACCCATCCCATGATAACAGCATTTAAAACGCCATTCCATGTTTGACTAGGCGAATTTTTTGCTTAGAGATCATGACTGTGCAATAAGTCAAATGATTTGCGAATTGAGCTGAAGCGCGTAAAGATTTTGTTTGAGCGAGTCAGCGTGTGCTGTTAGACTGAAGCATTGCTGAGGAAACACCCCAGACCAGTATTACTTGGGTTCCAGTTTGAATGGTTTGAATGTATAAGGTAGTCGGTGTTATCTGACTGAATTGATTCGTTCAATGTCGCCGTTGTTGTACAATTAACTAAGTATTTTGGCTTCTGCTGGTAAACGACATTTGCTATCAAATTTATCCCTTGCTGTTCTACACACAACTAAAATAAACATTTTTAGTTCTTTAAAATCGACGTAAAAAAACAACAAAAAAACCTACCCATCTTTAAATTTTATTGTTCTCTTTATCTAATTAAAAATGGGTTGTTTTATTTCGAGTTGGCATTATTGACGCTTCAACGATTTTATCTAACGGTCCTGTGGCGCAATGGATAACGCGTCTGACTACGGATCAGAAGATTCCAGGTTCGACTCCTGGCAGGATCGAAAATTTTTAGTTTTTATTTTTTTTTTTACGAAACAGACAGAAAGGGTATATAAGCTTCGGCTCGCCAACGCAAGCATATTTTCTTGTTTTCGGCTTTATTTTCAGTCACCGGTAAATTTAGGTCTGTATCAAATAAACAATAATGCTTCCAACAAACAAAAAGGGTTAACATTTAAAAGTAACAAAAAAAGACGATCCTGCCAGGAGTCGAACCTGGAATCTTCTGATCCGTAGTCAGACGCGTTATCCATTGCGCCACAGGACCACGACAAACCAGGTGTCAAAAAGTTGTACACATGTCGAAGCTTCGATAAGAAAAGCTTTAACAGAGCAAAAAAGTTTATTTTAAACCCATTTTGCGGTTTCGGTCAGAAGCAATGTCCCACACTAACTTAAAAAGTTTATATGTGCAAGCCAAATTATAGCCCGGCTAGCTCAGTCGGTAGAGCATGAGACTCTTAATCTCAGGGTCGTGGGTTCGAGCCCCACGTTGGGCGAAGTTTTTTTTTCCCTGTGTAGGTTTTATTTACCAAATTGTCTTGCACAATTTTAAAACATAAGATGAGAACCAAACATTTGTTGACAGACAACAGAAAACATTGGTAAACATTTATTTTCAAAAAACTACAGTAGAATCCTGTTATAACGACTCCGCTTATAGTGTCCGTCCGGGTATTGCGACGAAAACTCGATGGCTTAATTGGTCCCCAAACAGACTTATACACTTAAATCCTTTTGCTTAATGCGTCTTCCGGGTATAACGACGAAAACTCGTCGGTCCCTTAAAAGTCGTTATAAGCGGATTCTACTGTATTTTAATATTGTAGAGCACAAAACACGTCCGGCACGTTTAACAATACAGTAGATTCCGCTTATAGCGACTTTCAAGGGACCGACGACACTATAAGCGAAGTAGTTATAACAGGATTCCACTGTATATTTATTAATGATCTCGTTCTTTTGTGTGGCATGAGCTTGTCTGCTCTGCAGTCAGCCCATACACACATATTGCACATTTATCGACAACTCAAATACTAAATAATATATGTTTCTCCATATATTTGTTATTACACCGATACTTGCAGTATTAACGGTGTTCAAACCGGATATTGGTCTGTCCCTTAAAAGTCGCTATCACCGGATTCTAGCATATAAATTTATTGCAAAAAAATCGATCCTGCCAGGAGTCGAACCTGGAATCTTCTGATCCGTAGTCAGACGCGTTATCCATTGCGCCACAGGACCGTATATTTGCCCTTGGTCTAAATTGCCAGTTTGGCTAAATTATTACAAAACATTTTTATTGTTCCATTCGATTCTACAGATCCAATTTATTTAAATATTCAATAACAATAACAAAGATATCACTTTTGTAGTAATATAAAAAAAGTAATTTCGATCCTGCCAGGAGTCGAACCTGGAATCTTCTGATCCGTAGTCAGACGCGTTATCCATTGCGCCACAGGACCACATTACGAACGCTTTACTTTGTCTTAAAAAAGTCAAAAAGAAGCTTTTCGTTGTCACTATGTTATCGACGTTTTATTCAAATCGGAATGGAAGCAGTGCGATTATTTTTTATTGAGTTACACTTTTACTACGAATTAAATTTTATCAAAGTCGGACAAGTCAATAGTCAAAAATAGTCCCAAACTACTGTACCTTTCTTGTGTCTTGTCATGAGGTTCTGGTGCAGTCAGGAATTACCGGGAAACAATTAGAAATAAGATTACTTTTTTGGACAAGGGAAACGCAAAAATGAACGATCGTTATGCGTTTGGATTAGTTTCTGTTTTCACATCGTTGCCCTTTTAACAAAACCTCAAAAGAAGAAGTCGGCTATGAACACATCCCAAAGAGCTCTCTTGTTTAAAATATGTTCTTTGACTTCCGACTGGTTCCACTTCCACTCCCCCTACGAGACCGAGCAGTGTCGGCAGCGAACCAAGCGTCGAGAGCGAGGGAGAAAATCGCTGGGTCTCAGTACGAGTCTCAGTCCGTTGTTGACTTTCGAAGTGTGCAGTTTCCGAGCGCGGCAATCGCAAACGGTGGCAGTCAATAAAGACACTATTCCTCCGGTTTAGGAAAATGCGTGTTTTGGGGTTTCAGAAACTGTCTGAGGCCAATCGGCGGTGTGGCCCGTAACCTTTGTGTGAAAACTACCATCGGAGCATCCGTTTATATTGAGAAATAACGCTTTGTGTGCGGGAGTGTGTTTCTGTGAATGTGCAATAAAAAATCGTAAACACAGAGTGGCAAAATAAAGAGCATTTGCGTTCAGCTCCGGTAAGTTGCAACTTTATTGTCTGAAATCAACGGAAAAACATTCGTCTGCTCCGCATCTTTGTCGTTTGCAGAAATTCTCGCTCTCTTCGGCGCTTCGCCTATTCTGTTTTTACATGCTTTTTTGTTTTCATCGTCTGCTTCGGCTGGAGCCCCGAAAGAGAAGTCAAAGCGTAATAACGAAAGCCTAAAGATTGGGGCAAGCAGACGCCGACGTCGTTGTTATTTCCATTTTTCTTTTTAGTATTGTTATTTTGTGGCCATAGTTGTCTGCGTTGTTCTTGTTGTTGCCGTTTGTTTAGCTGCCGTTTCTGCTCCCCATTTACATGCGGGCTTACGTGTAGTGGTGTGTGCTTGGGGTTCTCTCTCGCTTTATTCTCTTCTCCTTCCCTATGTGTGTTTGTAGGCCTCCGCAGAAGACTTGTTTAGCGACTCAGGCCATGTTGTTAATGCAGGTCTACTACCATCGGAACATCGCGGGGAACATGGAAAAGCAAAGAGTTAGAGGTTTGCTCAGGTGGAAAATAGTCTGTAGTTTTGGAAAGATTTAACCTAATGCAACGAAGGGGTAAACTTAAAGTACATATCTTGTTAGGGAGTTAAGTCTGATTCGCTAAAGTTATACATATGTACATATGTATGTATATTTGCTAGAACTTTATAGAAACCAACAAAATTATTGATTTCTGGTGCCATGTACAGACAGACGAAACAAAAACTTTTAAAAGTTCATCTATGAAAATTAAAATAAAAAACATTTTTTTAAAACTTTTTGTAAAAATTTGTTCTTGAAATAAATTTACCTAAAGAAACTAACAAATACATTTATGTGTACTTTTTATTTTAAAAGACCCAACCTTTTATGTTTGTTCAACATTTTTTTTATAATTGAGGAGTTTTTAAATAATAATAACCCATAAAAAAGAACATTTATAATAAAAAAAACTAACAAATTGTTATTCTATATTGTTGAGATTTCAAACGACCCTTAAATCACAATTACATATTTATTTAAGAAAATCGAAAGGCCATATCATATGGCTGTCAAAGAATAAATTATAGAAGATAATGGACAAATCTTAATAGCTTCGAGCATTCAAGCATTCACGCATTCTGCTTTACATTAAGAAATCCGTTGAATAGCAAAACTTGAGAAGTACCTTACGATAACACTTTTCCCTGGCGTTTTAAGGGGCACAACTAGTGTGACGGCCTAAAAAAATGGTGATTTTTGGGAATTTTTATAAAAAAAACTACTTGATCAATTCTTTTCAAATTTTCAGAATATATTTCTACATGTTTGAAGAATATATAGAAAAATTTTTAAAGAAAAAAATTAAATATTTTTTAAGCTAGAGCCGATCTCCAACGGCGCTAAAAAAAAAGTGCCTCAACTGCTGCAGTGATTCCGGCCTTCTCCGTGGATGAAATCAAAAAATGAAAAATTCTCGTTAAACTAGATGATATTGTCCATACAATGACCTACGATAAAAAAAAAATATCAAAAATTGACAAAATGGCAGCGTTGTAAAAAAAAAAAATCAAATTTTAACCAAAATTTTGGTCGTTTTTGGCCTGCCAAAATTCGATTTTTGATCGGATCAAAAAACCGATAGGTCATTGTAGGGAGGACTATATATAGAACATCTAAAAAAAAATTGATAGTGATCGGATCATTAGTTTTTGAGTTATCACTGCAGCAAATTCGGAAAATGAAGTTTCGAGAAAAACGCGTTTAAAGATAAAATGATCGTATTCACTGCTATAGGAGCGGCTGCTCTTAAAATTGCTATAACTCAAAAACTATTTAAGATATCGATTTGAAATTTTAATATGTTATTTTTAAAGGTGTAATCTACCGAAATATGAAAGAAAAAAAAAAAAGATTTTTTTGAAATGTCACACTAGTTGTGCCCCTTAAGGAAAGAACTAACATAGGAAAATCTTGATATTTTTGAGTTCTAATGAGTCTAGTTAGCTGAAATATATATTTAAGTTCCACCTACAAGGACATATGTAAGCTTTGGCTCGCCGAAGCTAGCTAACTTTCTTATTTTAATTGATTTACCATTTGGATACATCTATATTAATTTAACCAAAACACAAACTAAACAAACAAAAACAAACAATTATACAATATTGTTTTCTCCCAATCGATTTGTATCTGAGACGTCTAATAAGATTGGACTCTTTTGGTTTGGTGAGATTCTCATAGTCTTTTTGGTTCCACTAACCTGCAGAGTGGGAATCTGAAAACGAGTCTGGCATCGTCGTCCATTTTGGGTTGCAATTTTGCCATCAGACTCTTCAACGGACATTCGTTGAAAGCGAAAATAGCGCAGAAAATGGTGCTGAAGCAGAGTTTTCGATGTGCGCTTTGCCTGTCTGAAATGTATCTCGCAGATACATATCTAAAAACTGCCACATAGAATGTAGTCGAACCAGACACTAGCAACTAAATATAATGCGCGGCACTCACCGATGCAGACTTGTATAAATATCCCGGCTGTCTTCGGGCTGCATGCAATTTCATTTTCATTGCAACTTCATGCCCCTGACATCAGACTGAATGCATGCCCGTCCGCCATCCGCCATCCGCCTCTCTGTCGCTGCCACTGCTTCGTTGCAGTTCTGCAGCACTTTAGCTTTCCATCTCTTGCAGCCATTTGCGCCGTCTGCCTGTTTCTACGCTCATTCTTCGACAATTGCAAGTTGTTGGACCGGACGGAACGGGACGGCCTATTGAAGTTCTACACCCCACCCCCAATGTATGAGTGTGTGAGTGTGCGAGTGGGGGGCTGTTCGCCCTAACCTACACCACTGAAAAGATATTGCGTCGGTTCGTTCCACCACAGGGTCCCCATATCGTTTTTTTTTTTTAAACGCGGCATACATTCCTCTCATTATCTTCTGTTTTACTTCTTCATTAATTCTCTCATCCTCCGTATTGTGTCGTGTGTGAGAACATATTTCATTGATGCATTTTCTTAGTGGCAAATGCTTGATTTGCTTATTAAAACCAAACTTTTTTCTTCTGAATTTCAGTTAAAACACACAAGAGTCTGCGATCTAACAACCGTGCAATATTAAGATGTTAAGTAACATGTGAAGATATCAAACAAATTTTGAGGTATGTTTTGGGAGACTCTAATCTTACCATGACCTGTCACGAACTGTATTGGAGAGTACTGTGTGGGCCCATTAGCTCAGTTGGTTAGAGCGTCGTGCTAATAACGCGAAGGTCGCGGGTTCGATCCCCTCATGGGCCATCTTTTTCTTTTTCCTGTCTTTTTTATTATGTACTGTTATAAAAAATATTTTCATGGAGCCTTTCAAAAATTCCTGGCAACAAAATGGCGACATCAAGGCCCATTAGCTCAGTTGGTTAGAGCGTCGTGCTAATAACGCGAAGGTCGCGGGTTCGATCCCCTCATGGGCCATTTTCTTTTTACAGATTAGTTTTTTTAACAAAAACCTATAAAACGTTTATAATTCTTACGCAGAATTTTATATTTTTTGTGGGGAGCTCTTTTTGTTTATGTTTCACGAAAAATATAAATAAGTTAGTACATATTACTATTTTTTGAAAAAATAAAACATGTTTGTTTGGAAAAAACAAGAAAGGAAACTATCTACGGCGAGCCGAAGTTTATATACCCTTGCATCACAAGGGCATTACAAATGTCAAGCAAAAGAAATAAAGGCTAAATAACATCGAAACTATGACAAATTCCAATTCATTTTCTAATTGTTCCTATGACAGGTTTATGATATAATCGGCCGATTTTCATGATTTTTATTTCGAAATTCAACAGTCGTTAGAAAACTTTATAGCAAAAAATTTTGCAGTTATAATTTTAGTTCCATAAATTTGATGTAGTTTTATTGCTATTTTCTGTAACTAAGTGAGTAGTTTGCATAGAAGCAGACAGACGGACCGACGGATAGAAGGTCAGACGTACATGTCTAGATCAGTTCAGATGGGTATGCTGATCAAAAATAAAGACATACTTTATGGAGTTTGAAATGTCTATTTCAATGCGATGCAAACTTCTAGCTAAAATTAAAATACTCTCTGCAAGGGTATAAAAATTGGCATCTTGGCCCATTAGCTCAGTTGGTTAGAGCGTCGTGCTAATAACGCGAAGGTCGCGGGTTCGATCCCCTCATGGGCCATAATACTGTTTTTGTTTCGGCAGTAGTCTTTTTTAAATTTACGTTAGCCCTCGAAATCACATACTCTAACCGAAAAAAGAAACATTTTACCACTGCAATTCAATTTTGGAATTTTGATTTCAAGTTTGGCGCATCTGTTTATCAATAGAACAAGGCTTTAAAAGCAAGTATTAGTTATGTCTTGCTCCACATATTCGCGGAGAAATTGGGGCGCAAAGTGAGCGCGCAAACCCAGCGATCAACTGAAAGCGTGCGCATGTCTTTTGAAAACGTGAAGTTAATAATTAAAAAAAAATATAAAACAATCGTTTAATATCCGAAAGTGAAATGAATATTAAAGTTGAAGGTTTGTAGATTGTGTTTTTATAATTTTTATTAATTTTGCATGCTATATGTGACTGTGACAATAATTGTTTATCCACCGCAATTTTACAAGTTCTGCAGAACTAAACATCAATATTCTGCAAAGGTAAAAGTTGTGTTCCCAAAACTGGTCAATAATGAAATTTTTTTTAATTTTAATCAATATTTAATTAGTATTATTTGTGAAAATCAGCTGCGAATAGCTGCGAATCCGTTCAGAATCTGTTGAAGAAGAAGAGTACATCGTTCCTTTTTCATCAGTTTTTGATTTTCTAGAGTAACCATTTCTAATATATATTAAAAAAAATTTTTTATATTACTTTTAAATTACTTTAAATTTATGTAAATCATCGTTTTTTGTTAACTTTTGTTAATTATTTAACCAAAATTAAGTGTTTAATAAATATAATTTTTGTCAGTTACGCTTAAAAAAAAGTCTAGTATGCATTTGGGAGTCAAATTTTTAACATTTTATGGTAAACACGATGGTAGCGGATATATTTGGCGTTAATGGTGCTGATACTTAAAATATAACATTCATACGCTATTATATACCTACAAAAAAAATTTCAACTCGATATTCCTACTGGAAGTATTTTTGGCAGCCTTCTCCATACAGGACCGACCACTGTGCACTGGTTGCCAGTTCAGTCTTAAAATCAATGTGCTGGGACCACAGATTTCCCTGTACTAAACGAAAAGAAACACAACAAAAATTAAAATAAAAACTATCCAAATTTATTTTTGCATCTAACATTTTCCTGGTAAATCATTAATTAATTTTACACTGCAAAATAGTTTACAGTGGCCCATGAGGGGATCGAACCCGCGACCTTCGCGTTATTAGCACGACGCTCTAACCAACTGAGCTAATGGGCCTTGATATCGCATTTTTTCCAGGATTTTTTGAAAGATTCT